TGCGGTGCCAGCTCCTACTACTGGCACCGCCGCTGACGAATCCCGAACCTTGTTGCCATCTCTCTTTGCAACAGGTGGGGGAACCCACCTCGCCCCCTGAATCAGGAGTGCGCGCCGGGGAGCTGAAGCCACGGGGGAGGGGGGGGAGTTATAGCGCGCCGACAAGTGCCAGACGCTTGATTATGGAAGAGAGGGGTGCACGGATGAAAGCGCTGTGCTCGAGTCTCTGGTGATAATGCTGGGGTGGAGAGAGAGAGAGAGAGACAGAGAGAGAGAGAGAGAGAGAGAGAGAGAGAGAGAGAGAGAGAGAGAGAGAGAGAGAGGAGGGAAAAAGAAAGAGGGAGGGAGGGAGAGAGAAAGAGAAAGGGGGAGGGAGAGAGAAGGAAGAAGAGAGGAGAAAAGAAAGAAAAAGAAAAGAAAGAAAGAAAGAAAAAAGAAAGAAAGAAAACGGGAGAGAAGGAGACAGAGAGAGAGGAGGGAGAAAGAAAGACAGAGAGGGAGGGAGGGAGGGAGAGAGAAAGAGAAAGGGGGAGGGAGAGAAGGAGGAAGAGAGGAGAAAAAGAGAAAGAAAGAAAGAAAAAGAAAAAAGAAAGAAGGAGAGAGAAGGAGACAGAGAGAGAGGAGGGAGAAAGAAAGAGGGAGCGAGGGAGAAAAAAAGAGGGGGAGGGAGGGAGAAGGAAGAAGAGAGGAGAAAGAAAAAGAAAAAAGAAAGAGGGAGGGAGAGAGAAAAAGAAAGGGAGGAGGGAGAAAGAAAGAGAGGAAGGGAGGGAGGGAGAGAGAAAAAGAAAGAGGGGGAGGGAGAAGGAAGAGAGAAAGAAAAAGAAAGAAAGGGAGAGAGGGAGAAGGAGACAGAGAGAGGAGGGAGAAAGAAAGAGAGGGAGGGAAGGAAGGAGAGAGAAAAAGAAAGAAGGGAGGGAGAGAAGGAAGAAGAGAGGAGAAAAAGAAAAAGAAAGGGGGGAAAAGAAAGAAAGAAAGGAAAAAAGAAAAAGAAAGGAAAAAGAAAGAAAGAAAGGGAGACAGAGAGAAGGAGACAGAGAGAGGAGGGAGAAAGA